TATATATATATATATATATATATATATATATATATATATATATATATATATATATATATATATATATAAAGGGCATTTTTAGTGAATTTTGTAAAGCCCAAAATCAACATACGATCGACGGCACAGATTCATCCTTGGAAATAGGACGGACGGCTCACAACCAACTGGACTTGAAGCAACCGGCAATGACGGGTACATGACCGGGTTGGTGACGAGCCTAACCGGTGGATTTCCGATATTGGAGGTGGAGAAGGGGCGAGGGAAGGGAAGCGTACTCTCGCCTTGTGCCTTCCACACGATTCTTCGGCCTCCAGTTCTCCGTCGTTCCCAAGGGAAGGTGAGATTTTGTGGTGTGATTCTTCTTGGATCTTCCTCCGTCGGTGTATCCCACTGTTATCCCCCAATTTTTGGCGACTGAACTTGATTGATCGCACTTCTTTTTTGCCCTTTTCACCTTTGGTTCTGATCTGCGCCGTGAATTTGTAAGCATCGCCGAACCTTTTCTGAGATTTTTTGGGAAGTATTTGTTGCTTAATGTTTCTTCTTCTTTTTCTCGAGATCTGATGGTTGGGGTGGATTGGGATCTAAAGGAAAGGGTGGACCTTTTGCTAGGTTTAGGAATTCAAAGTATTAGTGCAGAGGGCAGCTGAAAACCTCTGATCCATTGGATCGTGTTCTTGTTGATGCATATTTGTGGCTTTGCTATTTGTTTGAAATTTTTTTGTGTTGAATCTGTCGGAAAGTGTTTTGCGGAATTCTATAGAGGTGATGTCTTTTGGTTTTAGTTGATTGACTGAAAGTTATTGTGATGTGGATTTTGGTTGAGTTGTTTCAAGTCTTTTGCTTGGGAGGAGATCAAGAAGTAATGTTAGATCCACCTCTTTGTATGTTATCTTGGGCTGATCATAGGACAACTGGTTAAAGTTCTTCACTTCTAGCCTAGAAGTGTTGTGGGAGGACTTAATATTGCCTAGTTGAAATCAATTGAACTGTGGAAATCGTAATCTGGATTAGATTAAATGTCTAGATTTTTAGCATATTTGTATCATGTTACTATGATGAATGTTCTCACATCAAAAGGAATTCTAACAACAAAGTGCAATTTCGAGAAATGAGTGGGTAATTGGGTGTTGGTCTGACTACTATTTTGCTTTTATATATGCAGATTGTCATTTTTGTCTCCTTTCGGTTCCGATGATTGTTTTGATCTCAAGTTTTAGTTTGCAGTTATGCAAACACATAACTTGCTGAAATGGGCATGTATAATAAATTTGTCAAGGATTGTAACATCAAGAAATCCTTTTTAAGTACATCACAGTGAGTATAATTTGTGTGTCACAATTATGTGCTGTTATGCTTTAACAACTCTTTCAGATGAAACAATCTGAAAAAGGATATTGTTCATGCTGATTAAATGTTTTGCTGAATGTTTAAGCTGTGCTATTATAAAAATGGAGCATTGTGCCACAACTTCTATTCATTTCATGATTTTTTGTCTCATTGACGGTTGAGTTTTGCTCGAATATTATTGTTCTTGCCTATATGGATGTACATATGCCACATGACTTAATTCCCTGTGCAATTCTAACTTTATGGAAATAAACTTCAATCTGATTTTATTTACGGTTCAATACTTAAATAGTATATAACATTTTGCATTTTTATAAAAAATAGGTCCACTGTAAGATGGAGTTTATGATGCAGTGATGGCATGCTTAAAAGAAATCAGGTTATTGATTGAACTGGATATTGATCATTGTGTACTGTGGGATTGATGGATCAGATTGGGGAGATTTTCCCTTTTAGGATTTTGATTGACCTCAGCCCACTCTGTTTGCAGCCATGTCATGGGCCTTGATGCTTGTATACTTGGTTTTATATAGGTGGTAGACACCTCTTTCCTTATATATGCTAAATCATCACTCTGATTCTAGATTGACTTGATGTGGTCCTCAGTTCTTCACTTCTCCAACTTAAACATTGAATTAAATTGGGTAGAACTATGTGTTCCTTCAGCTATGACAGACTGTGCCTGATTCCTTTTTTTTATACTCGTGGTATACGATCTCCATGATTCATGTGCTTTTATACAGGAGGTAATTCTGGAGAGGATGTTGGTTGACATTTTCTATAAGTTTAACAATTTTGTCTACTCATAAACAGTTGAATTATAGTCGAGGGGACAATTTTTTGATGCAGTATGCTTTTTTCGCATGTCGCTTACAAGAACATGTCATGAGGGCCAGTTTGCACATAAGTTGATATCTAGCATCAACTTTTGTGCCAAGCGTTTTATGTATAACAGATTTTATTCTTTCTAAGCACACGGATGTCTAAATATTAGTGTTAATTGTTAGTTATAACTATGATTCACCACTTGCTCTGCCCTAAACCAAATATATCGCATATATCATAGTGCAGCAAGATCTCTTTTCATCTTATTTTTGTCTGAACATGTAGTATCTATAGATGTTCAAAGCTGATGCCATCTGGTGGTTTATTATTATTATTTTCGTTTGTCCAAGATCATTGGTTTATTATTATAATTTTTTTCTGTCCAAGATCATTGATAGTACAGAATCTGTAACCAAATGGTTGTTTTGGTCTCACGACAGTGTTGAATATGGAGTTCTTCACTGGCTTTCTGTGCGAATCAACACCGTCTGAGAACCTGTTTTCTCATCCGGACGCTCAGAGGTGTCCATTTTTGAGGAACATCAATGAACCAACAAACTTTTCCTTCTCATCATCTCTCGGTTCTCCTTTCCCAGTAAGTCAACACTATGTCTTTCTCATGCTTCAATATAGACTACATGGATGAATTGTCCCTTTTACCCTACTGTGCCCGTTACTGTTGTCTTTTAGTTAAGAGGAGCGAAGGGTCCAATCTTCGAAGATGGACCCAGTTTTGATATGGCATTCAAGATTTTCCATGGGCGCAACGGAGTCGTCCCACTTTCAGGGAAATCCTATATGTGTGAGGACAATGTGGAACCTGAGCCTGCAATGCAGTTTAACCCTTTGGCAGGCAAAGCAGCCTCTATCAGCCTCTCAGCTTTTGGGCCAGGAGGACCTTTCAGTTTTGATTTCTTCTCAAAAAAGTGGAAAAGGGAGAAATCCTCCAAGAAAGATCACTCACGACAGGTCAGGTCTCCTGTAACATTCATACCTCATCTCAAACTTTTATTGTGTTTCTAGTTCATTAGTTATGTTGGTTCTTCGACACTCCAAAAACTTGATTATGTACACATGATCATTGGAACTGTTGAATTCATAAATTGGTGCATTAAATATCACTGATGAAAGAAACAAGAACAGTGGTTTTTCCCATCTAGCTTTGAACCTTAAAAGAAGAAGAATTTTTGTGATTTGCATTATTATCATTAACATCCGATATCATATATTGTCTTATGTCCAAATTCTTGCTTGTATTTGTCTGTTTCAGAATGGAAATGGTGCATCACATGAAGCATCAAGCAACGAGTGGCTCAAAACAGGGCAGTGTCCAATTGCAAAGTCTTATAGGGCAGTGAGCGGTGTCCTGCCTCTCGTAGCAAAGATCCTACAGCCACCACCAGGCATGAAACTGAAGTGCCCCCCAGCTGTGGTGGCGGCTCGAGCAGCACTAGCCCGCACTGCCCTTGTGAAGACCCTCCGTCCCCAGCCGCTGCCTGCAAAAATGTTAGCAATAGCTTTGCTAGGCATGGCTGCGAACGTTCCCCTTGGGGTTTGGCGAGAACATACTGAAAAGTTCTCTCCTCAGTGGTTTGCCGCGGTCCATGCTGCTGTGCCATTCATTGGCATGCTCAGGAAGTCTGTGGTCATGCCCAAGACCGCAATGGCACTAACCATAGCAGCCTCAATTTTAGGTCAGACTATTGGTTCGAGGGCTGAGCGGCTCCGGCTCAAAGCAGAAGCAGCAGCAGGGAGCTCAAGCAACTCGATAAACCAGGCAGCTATAGCTGTCAAATCAAGCGGACACTGCAGTGAGGGTGAGGGGAGAGTCTGGGAGCCTCTTCCACTGAAGGTGGCTGGTCGAGGTTCATCGCCAACCGCAAGTGTGTGTTTCTGAAAATTATTGCACTTATGTTGCAGCATCTATCAAACCTCTAAAACCCATTTTATGCTTTAAAATACTATTATCTCGTGTGCCAAGACCAGTAACATTGCACTATATGCAGAAGCTGTAAGATGAATAAAGAGCTTTTAAGCTTGTTTTATTCTGTTGCTGATATTATATGCTGTATATACCCAGGGTTTCTGGGTAATCTTCTTCAAACTTAGCTACTATGTTGGAATGTAATAAAAGCATTATACATGTGGATTAAGCATAAATGAGAACTACCAATGTGCTTTGGTTGGACGTTGGTGGATGGCTTTGGGCTGTCTCCAAGCACCTATTTAAAACTTCTGTCTGGCTGTTGGTTTGCGGGTGATATGTCGTACTCCTTTTCAATTTAGTATCCTGCATATGGAATAACTTTGTCCAAAATCTGCTCTTGAAGATGCAAGTAGAATTTGTCACAAGCATAATGCGTCCCTTATAGCATAATTCTTTTGAGTCCCGATTGTAATGAGCCACGGAGCTTGGTGCTTCCTCCAAATTTTTTATTTTTTATTTTTTTTTACTAGTCTCCGAATCTTCCTGCCTCTGTGCTGGTTGAATGATATTGTAGCAGGTATGACTTAAGGTTGTTGGTGGGTCTTTTGTCTTCTAATTTTCCCTTACCTTTCTTTTGATATTAGCTACCATAGAAATCTGTCTATTTTTGATAAATAATTAAATGATTAAGAAATTAAATTGGAATCTATCAATCATATCTATTGTATGTTTGAAAAAGTGAGAAATAAACTAAAACAAACCAAAGAATATTTTTAGATTCCAACTTAAAATTTGTTAGATTTTATGAACATGAATCTTAATGTAAATTTTCATGATATTATTTTATAGAATTTATGCTTAATAAACAAACATAACTAAAACTATGTGTCGCGGAAGGTGTAAATTTATTAGACGTCTATTTGGTATATTCTTTCTACATCGTCAAGTCAATCCAACGACCATTATTAGTCTACCGGGAAAAGGTTGAAAATTTACCTTCCCGCCGCCCCCTCGCGCCTTCACTTGGATTTCTTCGGTTCATCCCGCCAAGAGAGTGGCGCCAATCATTCCCGCCATCTCCCCTTCCTGCCTATATAAGACGCTTAGGCTCTCCTTATCTTGCATCTCTCTCTCTCTCTCTCTCTCTCTCTCTTTGTAAATGGTGGTGGCGTTGGGTCCGGGGAGGTTCTACGGGAGTAGCCTCCCGCGGCCTCGCTTCTACGCTGATGTGAAGTTCAACGACGAGCGGGTGGACCCACCGGTGCCCGTCATGGACCCCTTCCTCTCCTGGGCGAAGGAGGCGCACTGGTCCATGGGCGGCCTCAATTTCAACCGCCACCGCCTCCAGGGCCGCATCGAGGGCTCCATCAAGAAGCTCCGCGCACAGCAAGAGAAGATGCAACGAGGAACGCCGGTGCTCTCCGTCAGACCCAAGTCGATGATTTCGAAGCCCAGAGTCGCCGGCCGGAAGCCTCTCCATCTTGCGTCCCCCGATTCGGTCTCGTCTGGTGGCGATGATGATGAGGAGGTGGTAGCGTCGGAACAAGGGAAGAGTGAGTTTAAGGTTTCTTCCTCTCCAAGTAGATCTGGTGATGGCAAGAGGAAAAGGGTGAGGAGGCTCGGGGAGGAATTCGATAGGATCGCGGCGGAGCAGCTGAAGGGGCCGAGGGAGGATGCTGGTGGCGTGGCATCAAGGACCCGGCGGCGGAGGTCAGTTACAGAGGAAGTCGAGGTTGATGAAGGGGACGCTACTTCTGCTTCTCCTAACAGGAAACGCAGCAACCAGGCCGAGGGAAAGAAGATGAAGGAGGTCGATGGTGCGGTGCCGAGGAGGACTTCGCCTAGGAAGAAGCAATCAAGTTGATAACCATGTTCGTCGATCACATGCATGTGCCCTTGGTGGTGCCACCAACTGTCGTCCTTAGGTTGTATGCAACATGTTTGTGATATTGACTGTGATGAGGAACAAAAGAAAAGTTTGCCATTGTGCAGTTCTGGCTTTTCAGTGTAGTTCTTTGTGGCATAAAAATATGTGTTAACATAATATTTATGATTTCGTCTAAATAGTTTTAATAATTTTTAATGATTATAATTTGTTTTATGTAAAATAATCATAATGATCATTTGAAAAGATAATTAATCTATTAACATGAAGGGTGTGAAGCAATAAATAAATAACTTGCTTACCTGCCTGTAGGCCCTGCGAAGGAACGAGGTCGAAAGGCAATGCCCAACCCATGAGCTTCGTAGTAGTTGGCGCAGCACGCAGGTGTGATGTCTCCCTATAATCAATCCTTGCCTGCACACATCCTCCGCCATCAGCCAAGCAAGAAGGCTTACGGTACCCAAAGGAACGATCTTTCGTCCATGACGACTCACCTTCTCCCCATCACTCTGCTCTCCCTGCTCGCCGCGGCCTCGTCCCACCACCCGATTGCAGCTTCGCCGCACGGCAGGGACGTCGTAGTGGCGGTCCGGGAGATGCAGCGCGCCAGCTACTTCTCCTTCGCCATGCTCATCCAGATGGTGCAGGACAAGCTCCCCGACAACTCCACCTTCCTGATGCCCAGCGACAGGATGCTGTCCAAGATCCTCATCCCCGAGAACGAGGTGGTGGCGTTCCTGGGCAGGCATTCGATCCCCTCCCTGCTGCTGTTCGACGACCTGCGGCGTCTCCCCTCGGGGACTCTGGTTCCCACGTACCAACCTGATTCCATGATCACAGTGAACAACAGCGGGAGGAGGAACCTGTACCTCAACGGCGCGCTGCTGGTGCGCCCTAATGTTTGCACCGCCGGCCCGTCGTTCAGGTGTCACGGAATCTACGGAGAGATGACAGCGGTCGCCGCGAACAGAGCTGCGCCACCCAACTGCGCCGGAGCAGCCCCGCTGCCACCAGCGGCGGCAGTCCCTCTCCTGGCACCGCCACCTCAGCCGACTTCGGTCGCTCCCCCCAGTGTGAACGCCGCCGTCAGTCCTTCCCCTGCAGGATTTGACAACAGTGCGAGGAGGTCGGGTTCTCCCGCGATCAGTTTTAGCATGGCCTGCTCTGCTGCCATGGTACAGTTCCTAATATTATCAATGGTGAACAATCCAAGTTAGATCACTACCACTCAGGTTTCATATAGATCTTTAGTCTGCTTAAAAGAAAGCCAATGATGTCAATTCAAGAGAAAGCAATTGTTCCAAACTACAAAAAAAAAGAAAAAAGCATAGTTTTAGTAAATCAAAGAAAATTGTAATGAAATTGCAAGGCATCAAATCTGGTGGTCTCAGTAGAATAACATTCTTCTGTTGATTCTAAATTTACATGACAAATTTAGTTCAAAAAGGAGTGATAAAAATATCTGTGGCTTTCTTGATGAACACCTGTGGACATGTGAGGAGGAGAAACCCTAAACCATTAATATAATGTACATCAATATGAATCAACATCTATTGGTGTATACAATTAAATGATTACATATCAAAATCAAGCTTCCTTTTAAAACAATTAGCACTCACCAATCAAATATCACCAAAAGCCGAATGATGGAGAACCTATTCACAGGGGCTGTTACACCATCTGATCTCTTCATAGTATTTCACCTTCATAAAAATAATGCTTGAGCGAAGAAATACTGTATTTGATTTTTGCCCAAAATAAGCACATATGACTAACTCTCAAGTCAAAGAAGTATGTCATTGCAAAACAAGAAATGTCATCATACTCTTCTACTGTTTCGAACAATAATAAATATGCCATTTCCAATGAAATAATAGTTTGGTGCAAGCTCCATATCTTATATGAGAAACATACAAGTTCCATAGTTTATGAAATCCTCTTCTTTTAGGAGAAAGAAAGCCATGAACGAGATGTATAAAACTTACAGTGTCAACAATGCTTCTTTGGGCATCATAAGATCAATAGTTAGCAAGTCATGATGGAGGATGACTTGCTAATAATTAGGATCAATAATCTGCAGATAAGTATATACATGGAGAAAGAAGACAATATGCAGCATCAACCTCCATTACTTACTCGAAAACGAAATCAAATTGCCTCAACTAGAACATAAAGTGGCAGTTCTACAAGTGCACAGACCAAAAGAAGTACTTTGAGATTTGTTGGTGTGGCAGCATAAGCTGAATGCAGAGAACGAATAAGGGCTTGGGCATCACTTGTATTTGATTTCACCATCCTCAACTCTAGGTTTCCTGAAATTGAAAACAAAAGAAACAAGACATATTGGTAGTTTTTCATCAAACACAACAACAATGCCACAGAAAAAAAGTCTGAAAAAATGCATTAGCAATAAAGAAGTTCACAAGCACTTAGCTTCATAAGAAACATCTATGTTTTGAAAGGAAAATTGGTGGATCAGCTGAACTGATGTGATAATCATAGATGTCTCATTAACAGATGGCGCAGAGGTACCAGTAAGATGCTTCATTGAGTACAATGAACAACGAAACTGTGTAATAATAGAGTCTGAGACACGTAATAGAGCAATAAGCCATATGTTATGACGACTATTTGGGGTTGGCTACATGGTCTTTTCGCATCGCTGAGCCCAATTGAGGGCAATCTCACAGATCAAATTGAAATCCATCAAAGCCTTCTTATTGTTTCTAATTAGGCCTTCTTTAATTGTGGACCTTCGAAGAAGCACTTATTTATAGCAAATTTAAGCGTTCTCAGAATGTATTCTAGGCAAGCCCTAGGTTCCATTAACATCAAGCCAAATGAAGATTGATCAATCTCTCCAACAATTTAGCAAGACAAATGAGAGAAAAAAATCTTTCTAGCCAAACTCATTCATCCAACAAATTTGGCAAATCCTCACTCGTTCATTCAAAACCTAAGCCAACAAATACCCCAAATCCTAAGTTATTTCGTGCGCCTAGACACAGACGGATACAGATTCTCCTTACTCTTTTGGCATCACCATGTCTCGTCATCTCCGCAAAGAGGGCGTGCGCGACGGCCAAAATCGAAGCTTTTCTAAAGCTGGTGCAACAACAACGAACAGCAACCAGAGAAGTTCAATCATAGCTAGAGATCACATCGAGTCATGAAGATCCAAACAGAAAAGCCGGACGACATGCGAAGATCAAATCCCAAACTTCAAAGAGAAATACAAAGATGAAAGGGAAGGGAGGATATGGAGAGACGAACCCGAGACGAGAGAGCCGATCGAGACGGCCACGCCTTCGCTCTCTGTTCCAGTTGCGCGGTCGACCGGGAACGAAAACAAAGTGGTTTTTCAGCTTATAGCTGGGGTCAGAGGAAATGCGCCTTCTTTCTCTGCCGGAAGTACCTGCTCGCTGGTTGGGTAATAAAGTGAGACCCACCATAATATGTGGCGTCTAAAACAGTAGGCGCGGAAAACCTGTGTTCGTTTATTTTGTGAAAGAAAGACTCGATGCCACGTGTGGTGCGTGTGACCGAAAGGCGAGTTAGTCGAACTTGGATGCATTTGGTTGATATATATATATATAAAAGATTGCTATGTCTTTTGGAAGACAACTTAAAAGAGACATATATTTGCTCGCAGGTCTCCTCATTGGAGCAATGCAGAAACACACGTGATTAAGGTTCAAGTCAGGAAAATAATATCTCTATTTATAAAGATAAGAATTAACAAGATTCCACATTCGTAATAATCTTACGCACTTAGCCACATTTTCATTTCATGTTTCTCGGTTCATATGTGTTTAGTCAGTTTTTTCTTTTATTCAATTAGGGCATAACATATCAAATTTCCTAATTTAAACATAATTATTTTAATTTTTTATTAATAAAATATACAAATAAATATTTAATATTCTATGTTGGATGATATTATTTTTATTAATAAATTAAAAAATAAGATTAAATAAATATAATAACTAAAAAAATTATTATGAGAAGGTGTTGCATCGTATTGAAGAGAGATATATTCTTTTGTATTTTCTTAAAAAATTAATTTTTTTCTATTCCTTCAAGTGTTTAAAAATTTATTTCATATTAAAGTATGTTGTAATTATTCATGCTATGTACAGTTTTCTAAAATTTTTATCTTTCATGCATGATACTAGTTGTAATATTTTATTTTTATTATATTTTACATAATATATTATTAAAAATATTATTTCCTCTATTATATAATTTTATCTTTTAATCTATCATTTTTATTATATTTAATGATTTAATATTAATGATTAGATATTTTAATTATAATTTCATAATTAAAAATTAAGAAAATTAATTAGGATTCGATTTGAAATCAACTAGTGGGCAAGACCTAGCTCATAGACTATGCCATAACTCATAGATTAAGCCCAGCTAATAGGTCAAGTCTCCTCGTAAGCTAGCTTAGCCTAACCTAACATGTGTTATCAAATGTAGTGTACATGACTAGTTCATGGGCTATGGGCTAGCTAAACTAGGTATGGTGCATATATAATCATGTGTTACACATGACCAATGTTTATGTTGGCCCAACCTAATCTAATGCTATGCAATGTTAGGGCTCAAACATTAATTGAACTAAATCAATTGATTAATATGGATCAACTTAGGGTGATTTCGATCTAGTTTGACTTATTCAAGTTGACTTAACTTAAATTGGATCAAATCTAATCTAAATAATACTAGTTTAGGTAGTTTCAGATCAATTAAATAAGGATTAGAGATGCTTCAATTAGGTTATAATTAAATCAAGCTTAGTTGGAACGATTAGGTTAGGATTTAAATTAATTGAGATCTAATTAATATTATTTGATATTAATAATATTTAAAAAATAAATTAAGATGTTTCAATATATTATTTTATCCCGATATAGACATGACTAATATGAGATGATTCTATTTTTCAATTGAGAGTAGGTATAGTGATTTTCTTTGAGGATTAGTGGATTCTCAAACATGATAGTTGGACGGTTTCTCCATTCGTTGTTGGAAGGAAAGTGCCCTCTCTTTGACGAGTGAAGGTTATCACTCCATCCCTTTTTGGGAGTGTGATATGGGTTTGTCTATTTCACATTATTGGGAGAATACTCATTCGGGTATTTGATATATGCCAATAGAATAATTGATTTTTTGGATATGTATAGTTGACTTATAAGATTCCTACTCAGCTTTATTAAAAAAATTTTGTTTTACTTTTCATTTTCTTAGCGGTCTCTTAATAGCATTAGACTAGATTTCAATGGAGAGCAGAACTTTCTCTATAAATAGATAGAACTAATTAGATTTTATTTTTGAGTTAATATCACTATATTTCTCATTAAGGCCTTTGACTTCTTTTGACTTTTATTTTGATGAATAAATATATTATAATATATCTGAAAACATAGCCTATCAAAGATCTTCGTTTATCAAGATCCACAACATAATCAGAGTCGATGAAACAAACCAACATGTCATGATTTTTCCCAAACTTCAAACAAGTATCTGAAGTCCCTTGCAAGTATTTGAGAATCCACTTCACAGCCTGCGAATATGTTTTACTCGGGCAAGACATATATTTGCTAACCACACTGACTGCTTGTGAAATATCTGGACAAGTACAAACCATTGCATATATAATACTATCGATAACACTAGAATATGAAACTTGCACCATATATTCTTCCTCTTCAACTAACTGTGGTGATTGAGCAGCAGATAGCCGAAAATGACTAGCAAGAGGAGTACTCACTAGCTTAGCATTTTTCATGCCAAACCTCTCCAAGACTTTCTTGAGGTAATTTTTCTAGGTCAGAAATAATTTTCCAACTCCTCGTTCTCTTTTGATCTCCATGCCAAGAATTTTCTTAGCTGCTCCCAAATATTTCATTTCAAATTCACTACTCAGCTGCATTTTCAAAGTGTGAATTTTTGATAAATTCTTAGCTGCAATAAATATGTCATCAACATAAAGCAACAAATGCACAAAAGAGTCATCAGTTAACTTCCGGAAGTAGACACAGTTATCATACATGCTCCTCGTGTAACTATGACCCAACATAAAAGAATCAAACCTCTTATACCACTGTCTTGAAGACTGCTTCAATCCGTACAAGGATTTCTTTAACAAGCAAACATTATCTTCCTTACCGTCAACTTCAAATCCATGAGGTTGCT